GTCCACCTTGTCCTTATCGGTGAACATCGACTTTGGGTCCGGTAGCAGCCCTTTGGTCTTGATTTCCTCGTAGACGGCCGCGGCACCTACCGAAAAGACACCTTGATAGGTCTCCTTGAGCTCCTCCTCTCTCTGCCTCCTCATGGCTCAGATCTCAGCAAATGATTTGCCCGATTTTCCTAACTTTTCATCTTTCGCCTTTCCCTTGCTTGACGCGGTGTCGAGCACTGGGATGGACGAGGATTCCTCGGCCATGATATAATTTTGGGCGCGGACAAGGAATTCTTGGTATGTGTTTGGCTTATTTTGGCAAAGGGACCACTTGAACAAAGTCTTCGACTTCAGACCGGCCTGTGCCGAGATCAGCAGCACCTCTGGGTGGCATTGTTCCATGTTTTGGACCCGATCGTTGAATCTAGTTATGTAATCCTTCAAGCTTTCGTCCTCACCTTGGACGATGTTGGCAATGGATTCCTTGGGGGCGAGGTTGATCTGCGATCCGATGAAATGTGATCGAAATGCCGCCCTGAGTTGCCCCCACGTGGAGAAGGAGTGGGGATACAGAGAATGATAGCACCTCTGCGCCTTGGGCCCCAGTGTCAATGAGAACATGCGACAGCGCAACGCGTCAGTGGCGCCGTGCAGGTCCATCCACGAGGTGTAGAGGCCAATGTGGGAGTCCGGATCCGAGCTCCCGTCATAGAGTCCGAGCTGGGGGACTTTGATTTTCTTAGGGACGGATTCTTGTAATATGTCGGGCGAGAGTGGCGAGGCGTGGTCCACGACCCGAGGAGAGGGTCGTGAGAAGGGAGGAGGTGGTAGGAACTGAGGTGAAGGTTCACTTTGGGTGTGGTGCCGACCCTCCAGCTCGGCGATTCTACGCTTAAGGGCCACGACCTCGTCCGCGTCGCGCCCGATTGTTTTTCCCCGTTCAATGACCTCCCTGAGGTCCCGGTTAGCTTTACTTTTGTCGCCAAGGCGTTGGTAGACGGAACGGCGAATAATCTGTAGACTCTGATCCGGCTGGCTTTCACCGGTCTGTTCGGAAGGCGTCGGGCTGGCTCCCTTCTCGCGCCGTTCTAAGGCGGCGCGGTTGGGGGACTGGGCCGTCGTCTTGGATTTGGCGGGTTTTTGCTTCTTGAGTCCGTCCGCCTCCTTGGCAGGAGTTTGAAGTAGCGTGTTGTCGGGGCCTTCCGTGGCCGCCACGGTGTTGGCCCCGGCCGTCTGACCGGCGAGCGCCTTTGTAAAGACCCCCTCAAGTGCTTTGAGGACGTCGGGGTGCTGCATGGCCTCCGCGAAGGTCGGAACTAGAGGAACAGGGGCTTGAGTCCCCTGTTGGACTTGGCGGGAGGTTCCCTCGCCGTTGCGCCGGCGGGACTGAGCGTCGGATTGCTGCGTAGACTCGTCGTGAGTGGATGAAGTCATCTCTGGTCGATTTTTGGATCGGAGATGATTTGGAACAAAAGAAAATAGGATGTGGCATTAAACACCAGGTCGAAAAACGTTGACACCAAGTAACTTATGGTGCCCTTCCTCTAGCGCCAAACTGTTGACGAACGTTTTTGGTCAACAGTTGAGATTAAAAGTATGGAAAGTGCAGGACTGGAAATAAAGGAAAGATATGGTTTAATTACAATTTTATTTAATGATCACGAGGTCGGCCTCTGGTACGAGGTCGGACCTTATGATATACTTACAATTCTTTAAAGGGGATTTCTTACAACTTAGAGAGAGAAAGTAGAGGAAAGCTTGAGTTAGTTGAGGATTCAACCAACCCAAAATAAATGTGGTGGGCTGCTATTTATAGTACTCTTATATGGGATACTGTTCACCGGTCTTGTCGTGCAATAGACTTGCAGAGCGGTTCGGCGCCTTTCTGACAGTTCATTAATGCGATTTGAGGTTTTCCCAATCATTGCTTGCTTGGCATTAAATGCAAGTATGGGTAGCATTTAATGCTGATTGAACGACTGTGACGGGCCGTCCCATCAGCGAATGATGACCTCCCAAGTGGTGAATATTTTAGTGGCGACCGGACCGGCACTATCCTTTGGCAGGGCGGCTCTAGCTTACTCAGATCGGCACCTTCGCTATTAAGGTCCGCGTGACCCGGGTGAGCCTTTCTTCAGTTCGGTGCCGAGATGAGACCGGCTCCGCTCCCAACATGTCCGGGTGCCGGGCTCGGGAAATGTTCCCTTCGACCCGTACTGTATATAATTCCTTGGCTCAGGTCGGCTCCTGTGTTCCTGATCGGCCCGGCACTTTCCAGGAGTTCGGTCCCATATAACTCATGGGGCCGACCCGTTTGGTTCTGACCCGACCGATCCGGATGTCAACACTTAGTTTGTTGGTATTGTGTTGTTCAGTCTTGTGTTTTTTGTTCGGGCAGTTTGCCCCTATGAGCCCGATTGTCAACTTATTATCCTGTTAGACACTCGGGTATTATCCTATTGGGATCTTTTTAGTTTTGTTTGTGTAGTTGGTTTAGTATTTTAGTGTGGTTTCCCGAGTATCACCCTGTTGGGGTCGGCTCTAGGCGATCTCCGGATCTGCCTCCCAGTTTTTAAGTCCTTGGTTGCACTATTAAGTCTTTGGTTGCTTTCTTTTCGTACTTTAGGCGGCTTTATTAATATAGTACCTCTATCGTTTCGAAAAAAAAAAATATAAAAAAAAATCTAAAGTGAACAATCGAAATTTAGTAAATCCCCCTATATATAATTCTCAAATGCGCTGAGCCTACGTGGTTGCTTCTGGTGCTTCAGAATCCTACTTGGCAAAAAATCATGGTTCATAATTAGGTTTGGACAAATAATATTGATATATTAATAATTAATAATCTAGGTCCTGACATTCTATAAATATTATTTAGCTAACTTAGATATTTTAATATCACTTGTACTAATATAACCCTTTAACACTTTGTAATTTTACATAGTGAGACACTAAGTGACTAATATATATCCCTTACTTTTGATTTGCTTCCTTCAATTATTTGAATTGTAAATGTATTTTAAAAGTTGATAACTTTTGTATTTGTTATCGGTTTTACATATGTAATATATCAAATTAATCATCTTTCGATGATATTCGGTTTGACATCCATATTGTATATATGAAATAAATAAATTATATTTATCTTTATAATAATAAAAATAAAATTAATTAGAAAAATAAAATTATTTCTCAATAGATATATTATGTTTAATGTAGTTATATGTTGTAAGTCAAAAAAAATTATTATAATATAACACAAGTAAGTCGCACAAATAAAAAGTGTCATACTAAATATATAATAATATATATATTTATAAAAGGTATTTAAGTTTTCAAATTTTTTTCACATCAATTTTAAATTTTAAGAAAAAAAATTAGCAAACATTCGTATAATACACGACCATTGTACTAGTTAATAATTAATGGCACATCTAATATTTGACTTTTACAAAAAATATAAAAAATATCACAATACATAGAAAGTTTTTTATATAATTTTTTTTTTTTCAAAATAGTACTTGCGCAAAATAATAGGATTGTTAAATCTAGGTGCTGAAAACTTCACACAATCGATTATTTTATTTTATTTTTTTTTAAATAAAGAAAAAAGTTGTAATTGAATAGAATGAACATCACATCTCCAATTAAAACAAAAATAACAAAAATAATAAATCAATAAAAGATTATAACTCAAAATAGAGAGAAAATGAAATAATTTTATTAAATGTTACATTACTGATTATATGGATGGAGATATATAGATACAAATTATTTAATCAATTTAGTACCCCACAATCCACATACACACTGTAAGGGTGAATTATACAATTTTGAAAACTTGATGGTGTTAATTATAATTACACTCACTATTGGTGCTACACCGAAAGAGAATCCATCAATCACCACCATGAATATAAAAAAGTTGGCTAAAAAGAAAAGCAATAGAAAAATGCGCGAGCCTTTGAAAAGTGGGCTTCAAGGTGAAAATGACGCCATTCACGCATAGCTCTTGGAATAATCTGGACGTCACGTCTCTCCATCGCCGTAAACAAATGCTGAAAATCATTAAAGAAAGAATCTTTGAACCGTAATGGGGTCCTCTTGAATGTTGGTTGTGCTTTAAACAGAGGCTTGAACTCGAAAAAAGTCAAAATCTTGCAATTTTCTTGCGACTGGCTGAATATCGCCGTCTGGGTTTTGCTCGGTTTTGTTTGTTTGTTTGAGGTTATCTGGTTTTTCTGCAGTCCGTTGTGCCTTCCATAGTTTACCTTTTAGTTTTTCCCTTTGCTTTTTGCGAGGTTTCTTCTGGAAAAGGGTTTATGGGCTTCTGCGAATTTAGACAGTTTCGTGTTTGCTTGACTTGAATTAGGTTTGGATTTGCTTTTTTCTTTGTGGGTTCGAAGTTTTTTTTTGCTTTCCTCTTCAGTGAACGAGGTCCCAATTTGTTTTAAGTTCCTGGCAAAATCTGGATTGAAGATCCTTTTGTTTTTGTGTCTATGCTCTGTCTTGTTTAGCTTTCTTTGTGAATTATGAAGTTGATTATGTGAGGTGGTTATGGTGATTTATGGCTAGCACAACAATAAAATTTGGTGCAGAGGGTAATAGAAGTGTCACTCCTGGGATGCCAAGCTTTATTTCTCAGCCACCAGTTTCCAGTCCCATGTGATTCTCTCTCTCTCTCTCTCTCTCTCTCTCTCTCTCTCTCTCTCTCTCTCTCTCTCTCTCTTACACACACACACACACACTATTTGTAGTGTATGACAAAATTGATTCCTGTTTTGATTGCTATTATGGTTAGTGCAGCTCTCAGTCAACTGTTTTTCTTTATCTGGAAACAGAATTGATGGTTTATAAGGATTTGTGAAGATTGCTATTATGATTGGTGCAGCCCTCAGTCCACTATTTTTCTTCGTTTGGAAATAGAATTGATGGTTTATAAGGATTTATTAAGATTGCTGCAGCTTTAGTCCACTGTTTTTCTTCATTTGGAAGTATAATTGATGGCTTATAAGGATATTATGAAGGTTGGAATGAATTTAATAGTGATTAGGAAGAGAAAGAGATGAGTTTTGAAACGGTGGTATCACTTGTTAGCAAAATATCATATCCGTGTTTCTTTCTGCTAATTTAATGTGCCGATGTTGATGGTTACATGCAGTTCGTGTGGCCTAAATAGTGTCACTGAGTCTGAGCTTAGTTGTACCTTTATCTGAGTTCACTTTGTAGGATTTGTCAACCAGTTTTGAGGAATAATGTTATAGTTTGTTGTTATCGGCATTAACATTAATTACCTTCTGCTGGGCGCAAAATAAATAATTTGTGATTTTGTCGTCAATGTTTTGGTTCCTATGGAAAATTGACCATGTGTTTGAATGTATGTGTGATCTTTAAGAATTTTTGCTGGCATTTGATGTGCCTAATTCCGTTTATTTTTACACAGAGTAACAAAAGAATGCTGTGTCTGCCATAATTTGTTTTTTTTTTTTTTTTTTTTCTTTTCCCTGGAGTTCGTAATTATATCTATACCTGTTTCATTTCTTGTGGGGAGTAAAATTTTTGAGAAAATGCAGGATTACTGAAGGAAATGCCCCTCAATCTTCGCAAATTTCGGATTTTGGGGTCCTTGAGCAATATCTTGGATATCGGGTTGGAGATCCTTCTAGTATCAACAGAAGTAAGTTTTCCGACTCTTCTTTTATCAAGTGTATTCTCATTTTTAATCACTGTGTTGTTGATTCAAATACTCGAACATGTTTTGTCTTTTTGGTTGACCATTGCTGTGCATTTTGAAAGCAATTGGAGCAATTTCTCCCAGGTCAAAATTATTGTCTGTAAATTCTGATTTATTGTATTAGTGCAAAATGCTATTCATTCAAACAAGGATATATTCTAATTGAGAAATTAATTAAAACATAATCTGATTGTATGAAGCATGGACATCCATTGGTGGAGACTGACCAGGAAGGAAGGATACATGAATTTTTCTTATAAGGATTATATTTAATAATTGTGTTTAATCCTGCCTTTTTCCCTTTTAATAAATTATTTATTACGTTTTGAAAACTGGTTGGTGGTACAGGTCCAATGTTTAATCCGACTGCAAATGGCCAAACAGTTGGCCGTGATCTCCTGTCTAGCCCATTTGATAAGGTGAGTTTCACTTGATTTTGTTTTTTTTTTTTTTGTCTTTTTTTTTTTAATTTCTTAATTGTAAGTCCGATTTTCAGATTTTCAGCTGACATTGTTGAACAGAACAGTTTGTGACAAAATTTTTGGTGTTTGTGATGTAGGCATTTGGTCTAACCAACACAAGTCTTTCGGGGGGTCGTGGGGGGATTCAAGCAACAGAATTGCAAAAGGGTTCACAGCTGAATTTAGGTTCTTCTTCTAGTGCTCGACATGAAAACTGGGGAGAGTCAAACCATGCAGAGTCCAGCTCACGCACTGATACCTCGACTGATATGGACCCAGATGACAGAAATAAGGTGATTGGTTCTTGATCATGCCTTTTTTTTTTTCTCTTTTAATATTTAAGAAGCATGTTTTTTATCTTCTGGTTGTATTTCCCGTCACTTTAATTTTGTTCTCGATAATTGTAATGAACAAAATAAAGTGCTAATGGCTGTGTCTTACGAGTTATATCCTGTTACATGGCGAATTGGCGATTGACAAAGTTTGTTGGTCTGAGATTCTGCTTGGTATAATTTTTGGTCTACTCAAGTCACCCGAGAAAGTCATCTTGGTGCTTAATAATTGCTTTTTGTGCCTTACGTGGGTTGCTCATTTTGCAGCGTGTGGATCAATCTGGTGCTGCTGCTGTTTCAGATTCAAGTGATAAATCAAAAGACAAAACTCTAGATCAAAAGGTTGATCTTCCATGTATTTTTTTTAATTGGCTAAGTGTTGTTATTGGCTTATTGATTCGTTTCTCACTATACGATATGCAGACACTACGCAGGCTAGCCCAAAACAGGGAAGCTGCAAGGAAAAGCAGACTGAGGAAAAAAGTAAGTTTTCCAATTTATATTAAATTTGAGCTCTTCATTCTTTTTTTTGTTTTTTTTTTCATGTATGAGAAATCTTACGTGAATGAAGATAATTCAAACTGGTTTTCCTTTTCTTTCCAGGCGTATGTACAGCAGCTTGAAAATAGCCGACTGAAGCTAACTCAACTCGAGCAAGAATTGCAACGAGCACGCCAGCAGGGGATTTTCATTTCGAACATTGGAGATCAATCTGTTGCTGGGACTGCAAATGGTTCGTCTTTCCTTGATTTCTTCTGCCATATAATTTTTGTTTGATTGTACTGGTGAGCTAACAATGCTGGCTTCTAGAATGTGCACTACGTTTTTTTTTTTTTTCCTGTTTAAACTCAAATTGTATACTATTAATGCTTAACAATTAACAATTAAAAAATGAAGTAGTTTGAGTGTCAATAAATTGTATTTCTGAAGGACTTTGAACTTGTGATAGAGAGTAAACAGATTCTGTAAATGCATAGAACTTGACAATGAAGCCAATGTGAAGACAACTTAAAAATAGGCTAGATATTTTTTCACAATTTTCTTTCCTAACGAAATATTTCATTCTAGCTTCTCCTAAACATCGAATTTCTTTCAATTTGCCTGGTGAAGAAATAAAAGTTAACACACTATGCAAAAATATTATGGGAAAATGAGTTGGTTGATTTGAGAAAAAAATTATGAGGATGCAGGTACACTGGCTTTTGACGCGGAGTACGCACGGTGGATGGAAGATCAAAACAGACTGATCAGCGAGCTGAGGACAGCTGTCAACGCGCATGCGGGTGACGTTGAACTCCGTACTATAGTGGACAACGTGACTGCACATATCAACGATGTTTACAGGATGAAAGGGAATGCGGCAAAAGCCGACGTATTTCACATATTGTCCGGAATGTGGAAGACACCGGCCGAGAGGTGTTTTATGTGGATAGGTGGTTTTCGCCCCTCTGAACTTCTCAAGGTAACTTGGGGTTCGCTTATTATCTGATTCGATCATTATGTGAATTCTTCTTCTTCCCTTTTTGTTTTCTTTTTAAGTTTTATTTACGTAGAGGGTGAATTGCTTTGCAAATGCAATGCCATTTATGGAACAAGTGTTTTTTCTAGTTAGCATTTGGAGAAAAGAAACAAATCCACTGTTTTCAAACTTCATCTGGAAATCAATTACATCATTAGGCATAATGAAATGAATTGGACTTGGCAATAGCATCAATGATTTTCCTTTTATTCTTTGCATTTGATCAATTTGTTTGTCAAATTCATTTTTTTTT